TTTCTTTTGGGCTTAGTATGTTTCATTTTGAGGATTTAGGGCTTGCACCTTTGTGAGGTGCGTATGCATGAGTATGGCATTCTCCTTCCTCCTAGTTCTAATGCTCGGTTTTATGCATGATTAAAAGTGTGACGTGTTGCTTAGCTTGGAGCTTGAGTTGGCTAGTTTTGTTTTAAAAATGAAAGGGAAAAAGAAGGGGTGCAAGCTTTGTTCTAAAAAAAGGGGGGTCGAATGGAAGGGCTTCACGTTAGCATAACTAGTGAGCACCTTAAAACTTCATGGCCACTTAGTTCTCTATTTTCATTATTTCAAGTTGGGGCATGTTGAGAACATTTGGGTATGTTTTAAACTTCATTGTTGGCATGATTTGAATTTTGTTTTGGGGTCCTTTTGGCTCCATACTTGCTCTTTACCTTGCGGTTTGGTTGTGACCAAATTAAAATATGTTGAGATTTTCATACCTATTTTATACTGTTTTTAATGATATTGCGCTTTAAAGAAAGATATTTTTGATGTTTTGTTGCAAGAATGATGAATTAGGGTCATTAGAGCAAAAAGATGCAAAAAGGAGCGAATTCGGAGTGAAAATGACCAAAATATGGAGAATTAAACTAGACCACACCCCCGCGGGCGCCCCCGCCCCCGCGGACGGCGAGTTTTTCCCGAGACTACAGGACAAAATTCTTCAGAAGCCCGCCAACGACACTCTCGAGGCCGCCGATAGCGAGATCGACGGTTATGCCTACTCAAGCTTTGGATAAGGCCAAATTTTGAAGGAATGCTTAGGCAACTCTTAGGAAAGTTCATCCACAACTTTAAAAGAACATTTTGGCCGAAAATTGAGTGAATCTAGAGGGCTTGGAGGTTACCATTAGTGTATAGAATTTCCAATAGAGTGCAACAATTATGAGAAATTCTTCGATTGTAAGAGTAGAGGGAAAGTGAGAGATTTCTTCCTCCTTACTACTTCGTAGAGGAGTTCTGTGTGCTGTAAAGAAAGGAAGAGATTCAGAGGAACTTCGAGAAGTGTTCGTGGGGAGAAATTAGAGATAAGTTATTTGCTTGTTGTAGTTTGTATAACTTTGATTTTATATATGAATTCCGAGTTTTGTTGCGTTTTTCCCATGAGTTCTGAATAGTTTTCTCTTTCTCCTTGCCTCGAGATTTGTGAAATGGTAAATTGAATTGGTGAAATCAAGAAAATGTTTAAGAAATTGTGATGATCTTTTCACTTCGATCTTAATTTACTTTCAATCTGGCCAATTGATTTCTTAAAATATGTTGAGTTTTACAACTAAAGTGAAGATTACATCCAAGATTCA